TGTATTTAGAAAAATAAACAAGTAAAAGAGAAAACTTACTAACAAATTGAAAGTTAAATCTATACTACATCACTATACAATATGACGGAGGATTCCCTTGCTTTTCACACGAGACTCTCGAAAGAAATTTGAACCAAATGCAAAGTAAGCCACAAATATTTTAGAACAACATGATCTTACCACTTTTCACTTTGACAAAATTCCCAAAAGTATAACTTGTGATGAGTCCAAGAAGGTAATTAATTTAATGATCATTTATTTTGATTGAACTCTCATCATTTATCCTTTCCATGTTAGTTATATTTCTCCTCCTCGTGTTTCACCAATTTGGATTGATCAATTTCTTCTTCAGCGTCATTGAGTATGTCTCTTGAAGATAAACCTACATTATAAAATGAAATACATTTTGAGTATTCTCGGATACAACATCAAAAGTAACTTACGCATCTTTTACCAATAAAACAAAACTTATTATTGCTTTCTAGATCACATAATCCATCATCTTTCTCCATATACAATAGAATTAGAATATGTTCATATGTCTTGAACCATCATAAATGAGAACCTTTATTCTCTTCATAGATTCAAGACAATGTTCCTATAAAACAACAAGATAAACTAGGTACCCAATCTTAATTAGGTCCTTGGGGGTTAGTGAAACAATTAGTTGCATTTGGGCAAGCCTTTCATGAAACCATAGTGATAATTTAAATCTTCACCGTCACTAAAATCAATATCGTATACTTGCTCACTTTTTGAGGACCTTGAACTTGACGTCCTAAGAGCTTTAGACTTTGTTCTTTCATCCTTATATGTGTATTTCTCCTTTTTATTCTTCTTCTCAAGCTTTTTCTCATGCTTGTCTAAGCAAGTAAGTTCTTGCTCATGTTCTTCAAACTTACCAAATAATATAGTGATATTAAGTGTAGTAAGATCATTATATTCATTGATCGCGGTGACCTTCAGTTGCCAATTCCTAGTAAGACATCTAATAACTTTGTTAGTATAAATTTAATTGGAAATAATATTACCAAGTGCATTCAAACGATTAATGATATTTAATATATTTTTTATCATCATTATTCCATAGTACTTTTGGCGATTAATGATATTTAATATATTTTTTATCATCATTATTTCATAGTGCTTTTGGCTTAGATGTGACAATGCCATTAGCATTGTTTTGGGTAATAGTATCACACATATCCTTGTCATATGAATTAACATAAATATCCATACAAACTTTTCAATAACTATAGTTTTCTTTTGAAATTTTTTGGGGGCTTTTGTAAATCCGTTTAGGTTCGTACGTCATTTTTTAATAAGAATTTTGAAGCACAAAATTAACCAGAGCTCTGATACCACTTGTTAGACTACAATACCAAATCTAGAGGAGGGTGAATAGATCCCCAAATAAAAATTACTATTCAAAATTATTATTTTAAAACTTATTTGAAAAAGAATGTTGAACGGAAGGTTTTTGGCATAGATTAATATAGTAGTCTAAACGAACCTAGTTATTCGAAACTCAGATAAGCACGAACCATATAGAATTAACATAATGATAAAATCAATCAACATAATAATATCTCAATTAATAGCTTAATATTCAACACAACAGTTTCATATTTCCAATAAAATCATATTAAAAACATCACTTGATAATTTATCGAACATGTGACACGCAATCAATTTTTCATAATTTTCTTTGAGCTTTGTTGATATGCAAAGGCACGTACAATCAAAGTAATTATAAACTAATCAATGGGACAATTTAAACTTTAATAATCAAAGAGAAATTTTATACGAATCAATCAATCAAACAACACATTCAATAAATTGCATATTGATAGTGAATGAAAATAAGAGATAGAACATTGCAATTTTTCTTTGAGTTAAAAAAGCTAAACAATTTGTCAAACACTTGGCATGCAATCAAAGTTTTAGAATTTTTCTTTTTGTTGTGTTAATGTGAAAAAACACTTATAATCAAAAGAGATTATAAGCAACTCAACACACAATTCAAAAAAAAAAATAGTCTCGGAAAATCACTACGCGTCGATAAATTACCCATGCTATTTGACAAATTGGCGTATAAAAATTAAAGCAAGTAAAACAATAAAAGAAAAGAGATATGAGAACTTTTCTACACAGTTCCCCATTTTCGTCCTCGCATGTGGATACGTCTGCGCCTAATTCCAATGTGGAATTGAGATGTTTTCTTATTTTACAAAAGTATGAATACAAGAGAAGTGTTCAAGAACAATTATACAAAACATAACAGTTTGATGTCAATTCAACCCCTTCTTTTATTTTGATCTTCAACAAGACCAGGACCGATAGATGCAACATATTCGTCTCTTAAATTACTTCTATGAAAAGATTTCAAACACTCAAAGGTTCCTTACAAAGATTTCAAACACTCCAAGGAATTTTTCACTCGAGTAAATCTGATTGCACACTATCAACACAAGATCACCGATTATGTCATTCAATTCTTGCTACTTCCTTAAAAAGATTTCAACACTCTAAGGTTCCTTGAAAAGATTTCAAACACTCAAAGGGATTTTTTACATGGACGATTCCTTCTCGCACGATCTTGCACGAAAACCCTCAATTCAACAAATGATTTTAATGGAGAAACCCGATGGTTTTTCCCGGATGAAGACCCCTACAAATCTCAACTCAAACCAATAGGAAATCCATAATTCTTTGTCTAGATGACACCCTGACGGAACATCATCACAATGTAATGTTGGTGTGTATGCATAGATTGGAAGGTTGAAGAAGAAGAGGAAATGTAAGCTAATTTTATGGTATCATAAAGTTGGAATGATGTATGAATGATATATTTATAGTTGGACTCTTTTTAGGTAAAAGAGGATAGTTTCGGAATAAAAAAATGACCCACAAAACAGTATGTGTCGACCTGAAAAAGTTATGTGTCGAAACATGTAAAATAGTAGCTACAGGCTTTAAAATTGTAGTACATGCGTCGACCTGAAAATCGTATGTGTCGACACATGTGCCTGTATTTTAAAGCAGAAGTGCTGAAAGCTTTAATATTGCAGTACATGTGAAGACCTGAAAAAGTTATGTGTCGACACATACTGAAGTATTTAAGAAAATGCAGAAATGCAAAATTTATGTGTCGACTCATACAAATTTCAAGTCGACACATAAGTGTTGATTTTGTGCAAAATTTTATTTTTCATGATTGAGACCAATTTTAAAGTTGTTTTAAATGATTCTTAAGACCTCTAATGCAAGGGAGTGCCACAAGACATAGGATACTGTTCACCTTACTGAAATGCTAGCTTATCGAGTTTTGATATCATGCAAAATATTTAATAGTATAGTTGCACTCACAAACTCCCCCTTTCAAAACTTGCGACGATACATTTCATGTAGTCATCGAAGGCTCCCCCTGACTTTGTGCTTCCCAACTTCATCTCGCATATGCTTCTCCTCCTTTGACAACATCAAAAAGAAAGAAGAAAAATCGTGAGAAATATCATATTCCAATTTCAATACCAATATATCACACAAAGACACTTGTGCAAAGAAGAACATACAATTACATATCCCCATATATATGTAATGATGCAAAAACTAATAGATAAAAAGCATAAAGTATTACCAAACATGTAATGCAATTAGATGAATAATAATGAATGTGATGCAAGAACAAGCTAGTCAAGTTGCTTCCATAGCGTCACGATTATGTAACACAACATAATGGAACTCCCGATGTCGCACACGCATGTGCCTAGCATAGCGACAAGAACACGTCACTACTCAATCCAAAATGAAAATATCTCCATAAAATGTGACTTAACTACAACAAGAACCGTACATGCAATTAACATTCTTACATTCAACTAATGCACGAATGCAAGAAATAATAATAGAAACACATACTTGTACATACAAAAACAAACTTATACAAATGTGAAAGAATTAATACATGAAATCATTATAAGCATATACATTAAAAACACGCAGTGGTTATCAATCAAAAGGTATCAATGTATTAGATGTTAGACATGAAACACATCCTTGTTCACATTAAACTCGTTTAGTTTAGACACTAAACACATTTTCGATAAGAGGTATTAGTGTTATTTTTAGAGTTTAAGATATGGAGTTTAAAATTCAGGTTTTGACACCAAACACATATTTGATAAGAGAGATCAGTGTTATTATTTTCTACTTCAATTTCACACATAAGCCATAACTAACGAAGGAAGAAAACGTGCGAAAGCAAAAGACGGAAAGGGAATGAGAAAAAGACAAATGTTTAAGGGAGGAGAAAGAATCCACTTCTTTTCAATTATAAAAGAAGTTCACTTTTAATCCTATAAAAAAAAAGAAGTTCACTTTTGTAGAAGGATGGCCAAAGAAAAAACATTTAAAGCAGCATAAAAAGTCACTTATCGCAATCCCATCTTTTCTTCTAGAGGGGAACAAACATCCTTTTCCTGGTGAACCCACTTTGCAATTGTAAAAATTAAAGTCCATATTACAAATTTGATTGTTCTGACTTGTGTTCTCCCATGAAGCACGGACATAAAAACAAACACTAGATACGATATCGACACATCAATATTGATAATAATTTTAAAAATAAAATATTAAATATTGAATAATGATACATCAAATATTTGAAACATCTTTGTTTAGATGTGTTGAGGATACATAGTTTGTGTCCTAAGGAAATAAATTAAATAAGTCAAAAGTAAAACTTTACTATAGTGAAAAACAATATTTTGACTTTATAAAATTGAATGCATCGTTTTGAATAAGAATTTTAGTATATTGAGTTGCTTAACTAACGTTCTCCTTTTAACTAATGAAAAATGCCATAGTGATTGCTTAATCAGTTTCCTTGGCAGAGACCACAAAGTAGTTTCACAGTCACAGCACTTGTGCTCCATACCCAAAATCCATTAGAATTAGCTCCCTTGTGGCTTGATTGTATTAGCTCACTCGCATTAACTTCATAAATGAATAGCAAATACTTCAATGAATTTAACAAGTATGCAATGTTCTTCTATCACCTCCAGCAACTTACTGTACCTCCTTCCAAGTTTCTTCACCTCCATTATCCAAAATCCTCCCATGTTCTTCGATCTCCACCACTCGACAGTGCCACAGATGATACTTCCGAAAACAGGTCTAACAACTGCTCGCTGACAAATTGAGAAGTGCATCGCAGGAGCTTGACTTGAAATTAAGTCTTGTCGAATCCTATGCCATGTATCGTCTCTCGTACTTTGGCACCAATGATAATCGGTTAGACTGTGATAGTTGTTTGGTTTAAGGAAGGAGGGTAGAAAAGAGAAGGAAAATGACAGGGAGAAGAGTAAAGAAGATCTTAAAGCCAAAACATTGTAGAATTTTATAGATGTATATAAACTAACATCACCTGCCTCCATCCATTTTCTTTGTAGCAAGGCAAGGAAACTTGTAGTGGCAACTATTGCAATACTTGAGCTGCCTCCATCCATTTTCTTTGTAGCAAGGCAAGGAAACTTGTAGTGGCAACTATTGCAATACTTGAGAAGAAGATGAGATAGATGGGTCATGTTTCTTGTAACACTCGAAGCCGAAAAAGACGAGGAGTGGTTGTACCGCATGTAACACCAGGTATGGAACTGCATGGTTGAAGGAAAGCTTATAAGGATTAATTGGTACTACCTATACCAACAAGATGCATATTCTTTTCAGTAACTCATTCATAAGAACTCTACAATTAAGGTACTTGATTTGGAGCAGTATTGAGATGGGTGACCTTCTGGAAAGTTTCTCAAAAAACGTGTAAATGAAGACAAATCACACTGAAAAGACCCGTGTTGGTTTGTGGAGTCAGTCGATAATTCTGATAGTCTGGGGCGTTAGATTTACCACCCTTGCATATTACATTTGTTATAGAGTTGAGAATTTAGAATTGGTATTTTGCCTTCCCAGATATTCAAAGGAATTTTACCTTTAGTTTTTAGTTTATTAACACAACCAATTTTTCTTGTCATTTTGTAAATATGTTAACACATAAGACGACTTAAATTCAACATAAAATTCATTCATACAATGAAAGAGAACATGAGACTTAAAAACTAGTTTATGCCTTCTCCAACAATCAGATTCGAGAACATGTATCATTCAAATTCGCTCTTTGAAGACTATGTTATCACCTCGCACACAAGTCCAAGAAAAATGTTTTTTAATAGCGAGTGAAGGAAGTAAAGTAGTGCCCAAAACAGAGAGTACACAACCCTTTAAGAGTAATTCATCCTAACATTATATTGATAACGATGATATTTCAATTTCTTCCATTAATCTTCTAATCCACAAATAATAATTCTATCTATTTTCTCATTGGTGCAATTCAATCGCAACTACTAAATTAATCAATTTGATACTACACATGAAGTTGAGGGTAATTATGTGAAACTTACCCAAAAATGTTACAAATGGAATTGCAGGTCTTTGAAGCAATGGAAACCAATGGTACTCTTTTGATTTCCGAAATGCCAAAGAAAAAAATGAAAATAGAAACCGCAGTACAATTCACCTATGATTTCATGGAAGACTACAATATGACCCGGATCACAGCCAGACCGACTGCAGATATAGATACAAGCGTACCGATGCAGTATTTGATCACATCATATTTTGCAGCTTCTAATTGAGCTCTCAATGCATGGATTTCCTGAAAGCAATACAGTCTTCAATCCCAATTGTACACTCTTCATTTCAATAACAACTAATAAATAAAAATCATAAACTTACTCGATCAAGTTTATTTGTCAAATTGGTGGTTTCAGCATTTTGATTAGCAAGCTCATCTCGAATGCGTCTGTGATTAGAATTGAAAATAAATAAATAAGATGAAAAGTTAAACCAAATAAAGGTTACTATGTCAAGAGGGCCACAAAAATAGAACTATGTTTTCGGTTTTTCACTTACCCTCTTTCAAGATTCAAGTCCAATCGTTGTCCGGCAGTTACTTTGTCAATCTCATACCTGTCACAAGACAATTAATAAATACTTAGAAGTATACATTATAATAAAATCTAAGGGTATGAAAAATTAAATCTAATTCAAGTGAAAAATATTTGTGTATAAAACTCCAAGGTGCAGACCTCAATTCACTTCTCATCTTATCTATGTCATTACGAAGTTTTTCAGTCTCGCGTTGCAACAAAGAAAAATGATGCTCCTGCATTACCAGTCATCAAAAGGTCTACTCAAACATTTGATGGAATAATGAAATTCAGCAATTACAACATTCCTCAGTGAATTCTCTATAATATACCTGAGAACTTTGCACTTCAGATTTGAACTTTGAGAGATTTGTTTCTTGGGTCATTTCCGACTAGAAAATTCGAAAACAAAAGAAATCAATACACACACATCAAACATTTATGAAAGAAAACAAAAATTAAAATGACCTTAAGCATATCTGATTTTGTAACAAAAGATTGAGCAACATTTTCCAAGCTATCATTAAGAACTTCAGTTATTGCAAAAGTAATCGCTTCTGCTTGTTTAGAAGGAAGCCCGTTGGATTCCAAATTCCGTACCTAGTGAAATTCAATTATTACTCCACCATCAAAATAAACGAAATTGAAGTAAGAGGAAGAAGAACAGAATTAGGATTACCAGTGCGAGTGTATCGACGAGGAATGCGCGCTTAACGGTGGAATCCACTGCCTGTGAAACGTGCCTGCTGCTTCTAGTAGAAGCGATTTTGGTGGTGAAGCGAGGTTTCAAACCTAAACCCAAACCAAAAGCGCGTTTATACAAAGCCATTTTTTAATTTTTATTTTCGCTTTTTCTAATGCAATTCGAGAAAACAGGGATAAAGATTATATCAAGTATCTTAACTACTCACGCTTGCTTGCCCCAAACGCCCGGTATGGTGTCCTTTCTTGCTACCATATTTTTATTTTATTTTTTATTTTTATTTTTATTTTTTATTCTTTTTTAAAGGTGCTTCATATTTTATTTACTAGGGAATGCCTAGGTTAAGGATCTCTCTATTTCTCATAAGAATAGTTATGGATCAAATAAAATATTAAATACACATATTTTTAAAAATAATCATATTAATTATATATTTATACACTAAAATTATAGTAATGAATCTCTCTATTTCTTTTGAAAAATAGAGAAGATCTTTATTCGTATGTGTTGTACCCCAAAATTTGCCCTCCCATATTCTTCAAGATTTGACAAGATCAAGCTTCAAATGGATTAAGGATTGCACAGTGCAAACACCCTCCTAACACAGTCAAAATTAGGGTTTTGGTTCTTACAAGGAAGTTGAGGTTTCCAAGGGTCCAATCAAGTCCCATATGCCTATATACATTGTCAAACATCCATATGTCAAGTTTCAAGACTCACAACATCAAGTTGCACAGTCAAAAAGCCCTAAATGCTTCACAGTCAACTGTAGGGGTAAAATGGTCATTTGACAGTCAAAAGTCAAAAAATTTGGTCAACATCTTATTTTGAAGCCACAATCATCATTTGATCAAGTCTTGATCATGATTCCACAAGCATGGCTCAAAAATCATCAAGATGCAAAAGTTTCTATTTTTGGACAGTTGAAAAGTCAACTGTAACTTGACCAGGGCATAACTTTTTCATGGTTCATCAGAAAAATCTCATCCAATGCTCATTTTTAAGGGGATGACATTTCCTACAACTCATATTCACATTCCAAGTCCAAGAAATGCTCTCACAAAAAGTTATCAATTTCAACATTATAGGTCATTTTCAAAAGTCAACAAAAAGGCACTTTAAGTCAAAGACCATAACTTGAAATTGGTAAATAAAAATGACATGGGACCAAAGGCATTGGTTAGAGGACTTCAATACCTTTCCAAAATGTCCAAGAACATGTTCATAGCTTCAAAATTGAGCAAGATATGCATTGGAGAAGTTGGAAAATTTTTGGGAACTTTCAAAAGTCAACTTTGCCTAAAACACTTCATTTTTGCTAATGGGCCTCAAATTCCTTCTTGAATCTTTGCCCAAGGCTTATGCACGACCCATTAAGATTAATTTGATTTATTTTCTTATTTTTAATTAATTAATTGAATTTTTATTAATATTAATTCATTTAATTGATTTTAATTGTAGGAAAATTCAAAAGATATGGTTTTTAGATCTTTTGTGAAGCAAATCTGATCAGGGCAAGCTGGAAATCTCGTTTCCCAATAAAGAGGCAAAATCATCCAATTTTGGCAAGCTTTACCAATCAAAAATATGGAAAAGATTTGATTGAAAATCAAGGATGCAAAACATGAATGCAATGGATTGTTGGGCCAAGATTTACCCTAATTCTATTGTGCTATATGTACTGAAGCAAACCCTGAATCCCTACACGTGAAACTGCTGCAAGAACACCATATGCAATATTGAAAAAAAGTGAAAAAACTCAAAACTGTAATCAGTCTTCCGGGCGAATTCAAGGTCTCTTTTTGATTCACACACCTTGCCTGAGTCTCCAGGAACTTGTTGCCATCAAGAACAAGCCCTAACACCATCAGAATCGTTCACAACAAGTCACTCGGTTTGCATTATTTTCCAAAATTGCATATCATAATTCATGCGTTTTTAATCCATTTTCTTGGTTGATTTGTGTTAATAGGAACCCCCTGAAGCTATTGGTATAATCCAATTTGATTATAGTGCGTTAAATCAGAAACCACCATTGGAGACATCTAGGGTTTCGAAGCTTGAATATTAGGGCTTTGCACCTAAGGAAAAATTGGACTGTGAAACGTGCATGGTTGAATTCGTCAAGGCCAGACGAATTCAACCCAACCCTCGCGCTCAATTTATGTTATCCCTAACTCTAATCGCTATTTTCCGTCGTTGTAGTTAGTGGGGGTTTAAAACCCCCGCTATCTGTTTTGATATTTTTACAGGTGAAACGAAGAAGGAGATGGCGTGTTGACGTGTGGTTGGTGGATTCAAATCTGCGCGCGTTTTTTCATGTTTCCAGCATAGTTATTACTTTTCATATATTATTTTTATTGGTCATTATTATTACAAATACAACGCAATGGTGTAGTGGCTGGAGACGTGTCTGGTAATTGCTGGGACATGGGTTCGATTCCCAGGTCCCCCATATAATTGTTCATATTTTTTCCAAAGCGTTCCAATGCAGTGTTCATCCAAAGTTCCATCATACACCCTCACGCCTAAGCTTGCCAAGTGGCCATGAAATCCATCCAGTGGCCAGGAGATGAGGAGCATGATACTCTCCAGTCAACGCATGCATAGGCAATGCCAGAAGTCAAACGTGGCTTGGAATGTCTTGGGCCAGAATTCCTCACAAAAACCTCCATATGGGCCAACTTACCCCCTTTGGTTTGTAATTTTTATTTTCTTTTCTTTTAACTCTTTTAATTGTTTTAATTATTATTATTAATTCACAACAAATTAATTTTTCCTAATAAATTCAGAAATCAAAATTGTAAATATATTTTATTATTTATTAAATTCATTAACTATTATTTTTTTTTGTAAATAAATATTAACAATTAACTTAGTTTAATTTAAGTTTTAATTTTAATCTTTGTCTCAATAAATAAAAATCATGTAGAATTAGGCTTAACACCTTCATTCATATTTTCTTAATTATTAT